GTGTGTCAGTATGTATGCATTTCTGTGTGTGTGTCTGTATGTATGGGTCTCTGTGTGTATGTGTGTTTGTATGTATGTATCTGTATGTATGTGTCTGTATGTATGTGTGTGTTTGTGTGTATGTGTCTCTGTGTGTATGTGTGTATCTGTATGTATGTGTGTGTGTCTGTATGTGTCTCTGTGTGTATGTGTGTATGTATGTGTGTATGTATGTGTCTCTGTGTGTATGTGTGTGTCTGTATGTATGTGTGTGTGTCTGTATGTGTCTCTGTGTGTATGTGTGTATGTATGTGTCTCTGTGTGTATGTGTGTGTCTGTATGTATGTGTGTCTGAATGTACGTGTTTGTATTTGTACGTCTGTATGTATGTGTGTTGTGTGTTTGTATGTCTGTATGTATGTGTCTGTGTGTGTGTGTCTGTATGTATGTATGTATGTATGCGTGTGTACATGTCTGTGTGTATGTGTGTGTGTGTGTATGTATGTGTGTCAGTATGTATGCATTTCTGTGTGTGTGTCTGTATGTATGGGTCTCTGTGTGTATGTGTGTTTGTATGTATGTATCTCTATGTATGTGTCTGTATGTATGTGTTTGTGTGTATGTGTCTCTGTGTGTATGTATGTATGTGTCTGTATGTATGTGTGTGTGTCTTTATGTGTCTCTGTGTGTATGTATGTGTGTATGTATGTGTCTCTGTGTGTATGTGTGTGTCTGTATGTATGTGTGTCTGAATGTACGTGTTTGTATTTGTACGTCTGTATGTATGTGTGTGTGTGTTTGTATGTCTGTATGTATGTGTCTGTGTGTGTGTCTGTATGTATTATGTATGTATGCGTGTGTACATGTCTGTGTGTATGTGTGTGTGTGTATGTATGTGTGTCAGTATGTATGCGTTTCTGTGTGTGTGTCTGTATGTATGGGTCTCTGTGTGTATGTGTGTTTGTATGTATGTATCTGTATGTATGTGTCTGTATGTATGTGTGTGTTTGTGTGTATGTGTGTCGGTATGTGTGTGTGTGTATGTGTGTGTCTACATATATGTGTGTCTGCATGTGTATCTGCTTGTTTGCATGTGTGTGGGGTTTGGGGACATCTGGGTGGTGGAAACATATGGGGTGTGGGGTAGATGTATGGGGGTTGGGATGTATGGGGTGGGTGGTAGAAGCATGGGGAAGGGCCCGAGGTGTCTAGTTACGCCTCTGGTTGTCAGGCAGGTCCCCCAAATTGCAATCAATAAAATTGCTTAATTATGTAAAAATATTACATAAATATGCACTTAGAATTTAAATATATATATATTTAAAGTCTACGTGTATATTTATGAAATTATTTATGTAATTATGTATATGGACATATGTATATTATTTTTTATTTATTTATATACACATACATATATACAGGCTGCTCTGGTAGGGACAGTGTGGTTGTTTCAAGGAGCACAAAACGACAATACTTGAACAAAAATTAGCTGCAGAGTCAAGTTGCCAGAAAAAAGCATTTACTGCGCCAATGCCACATGCCCACAATGGTCACTTCCTCCCAGCTCACTCAGCGTGGGAGGAGCGCGCGCCCGGCAGTGAAGAAAAAGAGCCAGCTGACTCCCAGTCCCATCAGCCACAGCCACCCTCCTGCAACGAAAAGGTAAGAAACAGGAGGGTGGCTGTAAAATGAGCTGTGTATGTGTGTATGTCTGTGTGTGTATGTATGTATGTATGTCTATGTATGCATGTATCAATGTATATCATTATGTCTGTATGTATTTATGTCTGTAAGTATGTCTGTCTGTATGTATATGTCTGTATGTCTGCATATGTCTGTCTGTCTGTATGTATGCCAGTATCAATGTATGTCTGTATGTCTGTCAGTATGTATATGTATGCATGTCTGTCAGTATGTATGTATATATGTATTGTAACACACTACCTCTTTTCCAGGTAGGATTTTGTCACAGATCTTGTAACCACAGCCTTCTAGGGTAATGAAAGTCCAGGACACATCCAGCTCAGTTTTTCAGCTTTATTCAGTGAAATATATATACAGGTGTTTCAAAGATGAAAAATAAACAAAACAAAATTCCTTGCTCTTGCTTAGTCACTTACTATACACAGCAAATCCCTATCGGGAATTGGGTGGCTTTCCCATTTGCCAATTTACAAAAAGTATAACTGCAAGACACCATTCCTCTGGCTTTTCCTCCTCACTCTGCAGCATGCTGATCCCTTCTTTTTAAAAGCATGCTAGCTAATTGATCAGATACAGGTGAGGTGCAATTAGGCATAAGTGAAACTATTAAGCAAAATAAAAGTTCTGGTCCGACTGATACTTAGCAGCTGGTGCTATTGGAGCACTGGCCCACCCTGCTCTCCAAGTGCTCCACCCCAGGGACCCATACCATGGTTTGCAGAGTACCAGTAATGCATCTTGCAAACCTAACATCTCTCCCTGGGACATTTAACTCTCAAACCTCAGGCTGCTGTTCAGTAAATCAAGCCTAATGTATATGCCATCAACTACCAAACCACATTTTTTCTCACAATATGTATGCCAGTATCAATTGTGTCTGTATGTCATTATGTATGTATATATGTATGTCTGTATGTCAGTATGAATGTATGTCTGCATATCATTATGAACATATGTCTGTGTGTATGGATGTCTGTATGTATGTATGTTACTATGTATGTATGTCTGTATATATGCATGTATGTCAGTCTGAATGTATGTATGTATGTCTGTATGCCATTATGAATGTATGTGTGTATGAATGTCAGTGTCTGTATGTTTGTCAGTATGTCTGTATGTATGAATGTATGGATGTCTGTATGTGTGTATGTATGGTGGTGTCTGTATGTCCTCATGCATGTGTGTCTGTATGTATGTAAGTATGTGTCTGTCTGTCACTATGTATGCCTGTATGTCTCAGTATGTTTGTGTCAGTATGTATGCCTGTATGCGTGTATGTCTGTTTCAGTATGTGTGTCTATTAGTATGTATCTGTGTCCTTTTGTATCAGTGTGTGTGTTTGTGTCTGTGTGTGTATTCCTGTGGGTGGTATTTGGAGGCGGACCCTGTGGGCGGTATTTGGAGGAAGGCCCCAGAGGGGCCAGACCCTGAACTGAGTTAGGGGCCCCAAAATTTCTGGTGGTGGCCCTGCCTGACCTTAGTATCATCGAGCCACTCTGGGGAGCTGTTAATGCAAGACATCCAAAGACTTTGCATGATCTGGAGGCATTTTGCCAAGACGAATGGGGAGCTATACTGCCTGCAAGAATTATGGGCCCCGTAGACCACTATTACAAAAGACTGAATGCTGTCATTGATGCTAAAGGGAGCAATACACAGTATTAAGCACTAAGGCTATGCAGACTTTTGAACAGGGGTCATTTGATTTTTTTTCTTTGCTGCCTTTTTTTGTTTTCTGATTGCGCCATTCTGTTATAACAGCTGAAAATGAATCCCATTAGAAATAAAAGAAATGTGCTTTGCCTGCTCACTGATGTTTTTTTTATTTATTTTTTAAATGGTACATATATTACCAATTCCCTGAGGGTATGCAAACTTTTGAGCACAACTGTAACCTCAATCTCTGCAACAAGCCATCTGACACCTGAGATCATAAAAGTTAATATACTACAAAACAAATATGCCATTGTTTGTCTGTTCCCTAAAAAGCAATTGTTTAATCCTCTGCAGATCCGATCAGAGACTATTTTCCCACTTCCACTCCATTTTTCCCACAATATCAGGATGACAGGAGATAAGCATATTATTTTATGGGGGATTGTTGCTGGTGGACTGGAAGAAATGATGATGTAAAAAGGCTTGATATCAGGGTGAGTATCAGTTATAGACACATGTACAGTTGCAGCTGGCCACTTTTAATCATCATGAAAGCTTAAAGCAACTTGTTCAGCCTTGATTTCTTCATTGCCATTCTTTTATGCATACCTCCCACCCACTGAAGTGGCATGTCAGCTTGGTGTTTATTGACAACCTGTCTAGCTGCCCCCAACAAAGAAGACCATGCAAAGTGCCCTGCTGAAGCAAAAGAGGCTGCTGCACAGCATGAGTGTTTCTAATGATATGCTTGCTATGTGCAGTCTGAGGACAGATATAGATGCAGACACCAGTGAACAACATCAGGACGTTGGGATAGGACCCTAAAAAGTTATGTTTTCTATTATGTATCTTCTACTGCACTCTCTCTCTCTTTCTTTTCTCACACATTGGTGGCTAGTGGTGACATTTTAGGATGGTCGGGTGCCAGACTCTACCTATGGAAGGTAACGCCACAACTCCCTCCTATGAACTTATCTATTAGACTCATATCAAAATGAATAAAAAAAACTTTAATTTATTTGTTTAAGCATTAAAGTGCCTGAGATATGACAAACACATTGCCAATCGTTGTGAATAGCACACCTCAGGCACTAAATGGGATAAAAGCATGTCATTATGTGTTATTCAAAATGCAGGAAAATGTTCAGTTTCCTGATAAAATAAAATAAAAAATATATGTATAGTATTACTAAAATATGAAATAAGTACAATAAGACATATAACTGACAACAGAACAGTAGTTTTACAACAAAATAAACTGGTACGAAAAGAGTCAAGAAAACCTAGTACAGTATAACAGTTTTTATATAAAGTGAAGTGCTACATGGCCCATGAGCTTACAATCTAGAGATACATGTTAAATGTATTAAATGAAAACTGTTCTCACATCATGATTTGAGAGTTCTATCTGATGTCCTAAATGCATTGAATTTAACATCCTCACTTACAATATCAATAAGAATTTGCAAATAATCTGCAGGAATTTGCAGACACTTCCTTTAGCATCTAAGCCCACTGGAGTAGAGCTCCGAACATTATTTGATGCCTTTTGTTACAATTTTTGTATGTTCATTTCACCAATGCAGCTTGTTGGTGCCTTATAAATAATAATTAATAATAATAATAATAATAATAGTAATCAAAGTGGAAACAATGCAAGGCTAGACAGCCCCACAGTGAGTGAGGGATATAGGAACAGTTGCACTGGATCCCTGGTTATGAGGTGGTTTCTTGGGTCTCTTTCATAAATAAAATGTAATTGAAAGGACAGTCAACTTTATGCATCTTCACAGATCTAATGCATTGGATAGATGTTGGCCTTGTTATTATGTTAATGTTCCTCATTTTCTGCTGAACTATGTACACACACTGCAAATGACAGTTTCAGTCCAATGGGTAAGCATTGTGATTGGCTCAGACCACCGCTTCTAATGATGTCAGCAGGCAGGTCAGAGGCAGACAGGGGCAGAGTCAGCAGCTGCAGACTTGAATACAAGTAGTAAGCTTTACTATATTAAGGTTTTTTTTGGGTGGGGGGTGGAGGAGGGGGTAGATTGTGGTTTAACACTATAAGGTCAGGAATACATGTTTGTGTTCCTGACCCTATAGTGCTCCTTTAAAGCAAAAATAACTGTGCCAGTCAGGTATGCTTTTAGTTTGGCTACTTTTTTAGTTTGAAATTTACTTTCTATTCACTTTGAATTCCGTGCAATTCTTACTTAAGTAAATAACCCTGTAATTCTCACTGTAGTGAATAACTATGACAGATTTAAATTGAATCAAAAAACTATCAAAATGAATTAAAATTCCTGGATTGTCCTTTTAATTTCTTTACAGAACTAGTGTACTGCAATTTGGAAATATTTTGGTTACTTTTCTATGACAGAAAATCTGTAATAATTGTATCTGCATCCAGATTAATAAAACATAGTATAAATTATATACCTGGCAATGGTAGCTGTACCAGCAGTCCACTAACACTGGAATCATTGTTTAACTTGACTATGACATCTAGCAATTCTTCCTGTGAGATATTTCTGGGTCTCTGGATCACCTCCGTTGATATTCCTGAAACACAAGAATATTTTAATTGATATGTGTGCCTAGCATTTGCAAAAAATCTATTCCTAGAAATTCCAAATAGGAAGCTTCCTTTCAAGACTTTCCCTTTACACCGTAAAAATAGATAAGGGATCCTTCTGACAGGAACAGTTCAACAGATCAGTAAATGCATACATAGATATGTAAATGCAATTTTCACATTTGTCCAATATGTATGTTAAAAAAATATTTACTATTTCCTTGCTGCCTGCTAATTTTATTGTTGCACAGCCAAAACATTCTCCTTTTCGAAACCACCTACCTACCTCAACTAATTTTCTTCTGCTGACTGTCCATCTTAGCTGTTCTCCTACTAGAATTGACACTAGTATGGTATTTCCACCACTCTAGATCGCACTGTAGACATCTTTATCAGCCTCTGTCTGATTTGTCCTCCTTGTACTTGCTCAAACTCTCTATAATCTGCTTTTTTTTTCACCACCTCACACTGGCACGTTTGGCTTGAGGCATACGGGCTCTATTCTAAAGGGTGAAATAGGCATATATCTTCTAAATCAATTTAATTAAGTAGCACCTGCCTTATAGAAGTCAAGGGCAAGGTCATTTACATATATTACATAGTTACATAGCTAAAAGGAGACATCTAACAATCAAGTACAGCCTTTCTCACATTTGTTTTTGCTGTTGATCTAAAAGAAGGAAAATAAATAAATAAAAACAGTTTTAAACGCTTCTAATTTTGCAATAAATTAGGGAAAAAAATCCTACTTGACCCCAGAATGGCAGTCAGATATCTCATTTGATCATGAAGCAGTTACCCCACTAATTAATACAATGGTTTGTATTTATTCCGAAGATATTTGTATAATGCTATCACATCCCTTCTTAGGGAAAAAGCGTATCCCGTTTAGCAGAAGAAATAGCAGTATAATAATGTCTTTACATAAAAGTGTAGAATAGGAAAATAATGGTGTTTACATGGAGCTTCAACATGTCTGATCAGTTCCACTTACTGGAAGTCTTTAGAATGTAAGTTTAGTATCAATGTAACATGACATATGGGATATTTGGTGCACATTTCAGAAATGAAATAAAGCAAAGCAAGACCTAAAAACTTTTAAAATGTATTTTGGGCCAATAACAATGAATTTGAAGTGACTTTATATCCGGGCACAGTTTGGTCCGAATGGAGTTAGAAATTTGCCGTTGTGATAAAATTTAATTTAATTACTTATGTACTGACTTTGACTTTTGATTTACTCTTAATTTTCACCTGCCAATTTTAAACTGTGTTATTAACAGATTTCGGAACTTTTCACAATATGTTTTATTAACACTTTAATTTCTCTTACAGAGAAGATTTTTGAACTTCTCTGAGTAGGCACATTGAAGTAACCTAATACCCCCACCTGCTCTTTTCTTTGTTGGTCATTTACCTACAGTTGTTGCAGCTTTTATCTTGTTCTTTACGTAAGTGTGGCTTGCAGGGTTGTCTCCCACTAAAATCACACTGAGATGGGGTCTTTTGTTTCCAAGTGTCAGCCAAGATGCAACATCCTTCTGAACTTCTTTATGTATTTCTTTGGCAAGTTTTGTACCTGAGATGACTGTTGCTTTGGACCTGCAGATTATAATGAACATTTACAAGAAGAATATTAAAATCTTTAACATAATATTCATATAGAAGCCAAAGAGAAACTTCAGTATTTGACATATTCTGAGTACCTAGTGAGCTCAGCCAGTTGGGGTCCAGTGTCAGAGACCAATGTACCTTACCGATTATAAGAACATACTATACTATATTGTGTTTCCTATCCTCTTATTTCACATATTGACTACTTTGATTGTGACCTCAGGACACCTACAAGGTGCTGCTAATCCTCTACCATTTCACATTCTACTTTAGATAAGTAGCATAATACAAACATGGGATGGTCTGTGAAATTCCCCAAAATAAAACACGTGTATGAAAAAACACACAAATATATATATATATATATTGGCCAAGATTCATAATTAATTGGTTAAATAAAAAGTGTTAATATGATCTTAATTAAATAGCATGGGGATGTACTTTCTATATATACATACATTTGTGTAGTGTTTTTTTTTGTTTGTTTTTGTTTAATTTTTTTTTATCAAGGTTGTTGGAATCCGTTTACAATAGGAAATACAGACATGAAAACTAAATCATATACAAAAAAGAAAACCAACATAAACAATAAGACCATGAACAGAAATAAAAAACAAACACAATTGTCTCAGTGTTCCTTTACTCCCCCCTACTCTTTTACCCCTTCCCTCCATGCTTCTATATGTAAAGATCTAACATATGTATTACAAATTTACTAACCGACTAGACTAGATAATGAGTTTCCTTAATTCTAAACCAATCTTCCCATCTATTATTATGCTCTTCAATAATACCTTTGTTTAGATAAATGTTCTGTTCCATTAGACACATTTCATCCACTGTTTCAAACTATTCTTTAATAGTAGGAGAGTAAGATTGTCTCCAATATTTTGTAATTAACAATTCAGCCGTGTTTATCAGCCTAATTGTTATAGAATTGATGTAAACTCCTACTGATTGATTTGAGTTATGAATTAAAATCAAGGATGGGTTTGTGTCAAATGATCTGTTTGTTACATAGTTTATCACACTTATAATTTTTTCCCAGAAGGGTTTTATTTGGGAAATTGTCCACCAAATGTGGATAAATGATCCATCCTATCCAGACAACACCAACATGTATATGATATACTTTTATTAAATTTGTGCAAGGTTTGTGACACGATGTACCTTCTAGTTAAAAAGTTTAAATGCATTCTCCTGAATACTTACAGACATAGAGCATTTATGATTTACTTCCGATATTGTCATTCATTTTTCAATGTAAGGACCGGCAGAGGGGTAATGTGTGAGAGGACCGACTAGAGAGGAAAATCAGTCTAGCTGCAGCATTCATTACAGACTGTAGCAGGGCAATACGGCTTTTGGGGAGACCAGTCAGGTGAGGGTTACAGTAATCCATGCGGGAAATTACTAGAGCATGGACAAGCTCTTTGGTCGCATTTTACGTAAGAAAGGGGCGGATGCGGGCTATGTTTTTGAGTTGGAACCTACAGAATTTGGCAACAAACTGGATGTGAGGCTCAAAGGTGAGGCCAGAGTCTAGTATGACGCCAAGACAGCGTGCTTGCAAGGATGGACTTATGTGGATATCACTGACTTGAAGGGAGAGCGAGAGAGGAGGAAAGACAAGGAGTTCAGTTTTAGAGAGATTGAGTTTCAGAAAGCGTGAGGACATCCAGTCAGAGTTGGAAGAAAGGCAAGCAGTGACACGTTGCAGGACAGCAGGGGAGAGGTCCGGGGAGGAGAGGGTTATCTGAGTGTCATCAGCGTACAGGTGGTAGTGGAATCCAAAAGAGGCAATAAGCTTGCCAAGAGAGGCAGTATATAGAGAAAATAGAAGGGGACCAAGGACAGAGCCTTGGGGAACTCCAACCGAGACAGGAAGAGGGGAGGAGGTATGCTTGGAAAAGGAGACACTGAATGAGCATTGGGAGAGATAGGAGGAAAACCAAGAGAGGACAGAGTCACAGAGGCCGAGCGATTGAAGAGTTTGAAGGAGGAGAGCATGATCAACGGTGTCAAAGGCAGCAGAGAAGTCAAGGAGAATTAATATGGAGTAGTGACCTTTGGATTTAGCTGCGATTAGGTCATTAGTGACTTTGATGAGAGCAGTCTCAGTAGAGTGGAGAGGGCGGAAGCCAGACTGAAGAGGGTCAAGGAGAGAGTTGGAATTGAGGAAGTGAGATAAGTCTTTCCGAAAGCTTTGATGAGAAATGGAGCAGGGATATGGGACGATAGTTAGAGGGGGAGGATGGGTCAAGAGATGTTTGTTTCAGGATAGGTACTACAGTGGCATGTTTAAGGTCAGCAGGAACAGTGCCAGAAGAGAGAGAGCAGTTAAATATGTGTGTTAGTGTAGGCACAAGACAAGGGGAGAGACATCTGATGAGGTGAGATAGGACAGGATTGAGCGGGCAAGTGGTGGGGCGAGAGGAATGAAGAAGCACAGCCACCTCTTGTTCAGTAGCTGGGGAGAAAGTCTGAAGGGTAGGGAAGGCATGATTTATGTGTGGTTGAGAAAGAGAATGGCAAGGAGGGGAGAATTGTTTCCTTAGCTGTTCAATCTTGTTGGTAGAGTAGCATGCAAAGCTATCAGCTGTAAGGTTAGTTTGGGGGGTGGCCACAGCAGGGCACAGAAGTGAGTTAAAGGTGTCAAAGAGATGTCTGGGATTGCAGGAGCATGAACTAATGAGAGAGGAAAAGTATGACTGTTTGGCGAGGGCAAGGGCTGCGCTGTATGAACGCAACATGAATCTATAATGGAGAAAGTCTACCTGGGTGCAGGACTTCCTCCAGGAGCGTTCAGCACAATGGGAGCAACTCTGCAGATAGTGTGTTGATTTAGTATGCCAAGGTTGGGGTTGTGTCCTCCTTGAGGTGCATGGTTGTGTAGTGGTTTTTGATTCTTTGACTACTATATAATTTGAAATCTCAGCATGCTAGATTTTGCAAAGTTTTAGATTTGAAACTGTAATTCACTCCTTGCAATATGTGTTTTAAACTTTAAAAAAAATGTGTTTTATACTTGAATTTTTTTTTTTAAATCCTAAACATATTGGGCATTTTAAGGAATAATTAGTGCATGCTTTTTGAGTTAGCTTTTCTGTTGGACTTGTGTAGAAATTATTAAATGGAAAAGTGTTTTTTTTTTCAAATTTGTTTAAATTTAAATTTATATTTAATGTCAAGAAAACCCTATAAAGGAACACATAGCAAAAGTGCCAAAAGGTTCTTGGTCACAAATGTATTACATCTCAAAAGAGCCTTGGTCCTTAAGTGGTTAAGCAAAACTAAAGAGGTTTGAATAGGGAGAAAATTATAGCATGAGTATGAGACAAAACAAAATCAAAGTCTATCAAATGCACTTAAGTTATGTTAAGTTATATGCCCATTATGTTCCTTTATTATAGACACTGATTAAATGGCAACACAATGGAGCTGAAGATTTAAAAACATTGAATCTGCTTTTACATATATCAAATTTGGTTTTACCATGATATGACAATATATAAAGAGAAAAAATTATGGCATATGTTACAATAATATAGTCTTAGATATTTAAACGGACTCTATGAGAAAACTAAAACACTTACATAAAGCCCAAAAATATATGTAATGCTTACTGAACCTTGTTGTCTGTTGACCGAGCCCATATTTGCAGCAGCTTCTGACTGGTAATTCTTTCCTGGAATACATTAAAAAAAAATACAAAAGTTAAGGCAATAAGTGATACAGCATCTTTTGCATTGCAAATAATGAGTCTAATAACAATTTTCTTTGGTATCATGACGTTAAATTTTGTTATTTAATTGAGAAAACATTGACCACAATTGCAAAATTATCTTGAGATACTTTATATGTGGAGTATCCACTGATTAGCCACAAAATTAAAAACACTGCCAGGTGAAGTGAATAACATTGCTCTCTTTCCCCCTGGGTGCCCCAGGTTACTTACCTGCTGAGGTATAGCGAGCTGGAGGCTTCCGGTGCGGGGGAGGACGCTGCCGAGGTTGAGGATTCAACTGAGTTAAACATATGGCGGTAAAGGTATGATTGGAAAAGAGAGGGAGTATATATAACAAAGAAAAACTGAAGGAGAGGCTGAAGAGATAAGGGGAATAAATAAAGAGCTGAGAGAGTGGGAGAGAGGTGAAGGTGAAAATGGAGAGGTGAGAGAGAGAACCCAGAGAGAACCCATAGAGATCCTAGAAAGCAACAAACAGAAAGATCTCTTAAAGGGGCAGATAAGGATATAATGTCTTGGGCAAGTCACTAAACTGCACATCTACACTATATACAATAAGGATTGATTCTGTTCCTGAGCTGGGTTCCTAGATAAAAAGAAAGGGAGGGGAGAGGAGAAGGGGAAGGAAAAAGAAAAGAGAATTTTTTTTTTTTTTATCCTGGTGACCACTATGTCACTATATAGTGCTCTCTTGTCTCCCTCCCACTGTTTTGATTTCCCCCCAAAAGATAAAAGATGGAAAGAAAAGGAAAGGGAATAATAAAAAGAAAGAGGAGGCGAGGAAGAGGGAGGAAGAGAGAGCCAAGAAAAAGAAGAAAAACCGGTATTGCGTCTAAAAAAAACTCAGGAAGACCGGAGTAAAAAAGACAAAAGAGAGTTACCACCGGATAAAAGATTATCAGGTTACTTCTCTCCATCCCAACACAAGACACAAATTACTCAAGAAAACACAGATGAAAATCCAGAAATAAATTTCAGCTTAATTAAAGAGGTACAAACAGCTACTCCCATGACTGAAGATATTCTCACTAAAAACCTGGAAAAATTCTCTAGAGTACTAGGTGAAGATATGGCCGCAAACACGAAAGAGTTAAAACAAGAATTTAAAATGATACGAGTTAAATTAGCTACTATGGAGGACAACTTTATCAAATTAGACAATAAATATAAGCTTTGCCAAGAAGAGATAACCGAAATGAAAAATAAAATAGGAGCACTGGAAGCTAAAGTCTGCGACATTGAAGACAGATCTAGAAGAGCAAACATCAGAATCCGACATATTCCAGAAGAAATCTCCAATGAAAATCTGGAGAGTTTCCTTCTGGAGTTCTTAAAAAATTTAATTCTGGGTGGAGCTCCACATGACCATTCAATGGATCGTCGACACCGACTACCCAGACCTCAGAATGCTCCGGAGACATACACAAGAGACGTAATGGTGAGATTTCATTCATATCAAACGAAAGAGAGTTATGGCAGCGATGAGGAATAATCCTATATAAGAAGATAAATTTAAGAATCTATCATACTCAACAAGAATGTGGAGAAAAAGTTTTCAAGACTTGCTACCTATCCTGAGACAGAAGGACATAAGTTATAGATGAGGTTTTCCTTCAACATTAAGAGTGTCCTGGAATGGAAAGATGGTTAAGCTTTGAAGAGTTGGATGGAAAAACCAAATATAATCGGAACATTTAAAGTCAATCCATGAAGAGGTTTTGAAAACTGTCCAGTACTAAACAAGGACTTCTTTTTTTTTTCTCACTTTTCTCATTCTGTAATATAGAGCATGTTGATTCATGTAAAATCTTTACTAATAGCACAGATAATAGAAATAGTAGAATATGTATGGATATGTAAAGTATGGATACTTTAACACTATAACACTATTGATAGATAACAGAAAAGGTAAGGGGAGGAAAGGAAAGGAAACAAGGGGGGGGGGAATAGGGGAAATATGATCACAAAATTAAAATTAAAGATCACAAATATATATGAAATATGGGGTATTAATAATGATAAATTCACGATAGGAAGCCTATAATAAGGAATGATCCTCATACTAGTTTGTTTAAAGGAAATCACAAGTACAATTTATTAATTAAGTAAATAATAGGGATTAATATTTTCATTTTTTTTTTTTTTATTATTTTTAAGTGCACTCCACGGAACAAACACTAGAGAAAAAAAGTATATTAACAAGGTCTTATTGGCACAAAGGTTTTATATAAGCGTTTATAAACATAATAGTACTTAATAGGATAGCACTAGACTAATTTGCCCCAAGCTGGTTCTGCAATACATACAAGGGGGTAAACTGGTAGAGTGCGAAGTAAATAGAATAAAGGGACAGAGTATTTCTATAAAAAAATTTCTCTCTTCTTTCCTTCTCCTCTTTCTCACTCCTCCATTCTTTTCTCTCTCTTAATGAGAAATATAAGGGATACCAGAGAAGATAAGGGAAGAGAATAAATGATGAAGGCCCCGGCCATGTGTCCTTGTTGAGACACAAATACCGTTAGGAGGGTTTGTTTCAAATCTACTATCGAGAGAATGGCTCTAACCATTAAGGTTATCTTGTTGGGTGAGAGGCCATTCTGTATTTTCTGGCTTATAACCAGAATAGAAGAGTATGACTGCAATGTTAATGTTGATGTAAATGTCAATGTAGTGAAGTGTTTGTTCATGCCGATGGGAGCATTGGGAGATTTATATAAAGAATGGTGAAGATGGTATCAGTAAACACTCAGGGCCTAAATTTACGAGCAAAAAAAAACTTTGGTCTATGATTTTTTTAAGAATCAAAATGTAGAGGTTGGGTTCTTACATGAGACTCATTGGAGGTTGATAGACAATGTAAAATGGGGAGGGGCTAAATTTTCAAATGTATTTCAAGCCTCCCTTAACGATAGGAAAAAAAGAGGGGTGGCTATTATTGTGGCAAATTCTGTGAAATTTGAATTAATTTATCAATTTGCTGATACCGAAGCTAGATTCTTAATTATTGTTTGTAAATTAAATGAAATTAAATATACGCTGGTTAACACATACCTGCCTAACACCCTCCCAGTGATTACGCTTAGAGACATATTAGAACAAGCTGAATCTATAAAAACTGGAGTGTGTATTATAGCAGGAGATCTTAACTGCGTTTTGGATCCAATCTTGGATAAGAAGCTTAGTAATAATTTAAAAACTAATGGCTCTGTAATAAAAATGGCCAAATCCCTAAAGAAGCTATTGAATGAATTTGATTTTTTTGATCTATGGAGATCTTCCTAACCGGAGAGACACGATTATACTTTTTTTTCTAGTGTACACTACTCATATTCGCGTATTGATATGGTGTGGGGTAACGCAATAGCTTTAGAAAATGTAGAGAAGATTGAAATTAGGGATAATACCTGGTCGGATCATAGCATTAATATCTGGACTATGAGAGATCAGTGGAATAATACAAACAAAGCTACATGGAGATTAAAAGATTATCTACTCCATAATAAATCAAATCTAGACTCTCTTAGATCCCAGATGGAACGCTATTTTGAAATTAACATGCCCAACGAAACCTCATATTCTAACAACTGGCTTTTAAAGCTACCATGAGAGGCCACTTAATAAGCTTAGAAGCACACTTAAATAGGAATAAAAGTCTGGACTTATTCCCTCTTTATAATAATCTAGCTGAAAAAGTGAAAAAGAATAAGATGAATCCTTCTCAAGTTAATTCAGAAGCGATTAAGACGATTAAAGACCAAATTAATCAAATCAACATAGAAAAGAACATAAAAATTCTGGCAAAGCTTAAGTTAAAAGAATATAGTATAGGGAATAGAGCAGACAAACTCCTAACTAAGAAGCTTAGAGACAAAAGGGTCTCAAGTAGAATAACAAAAATAAATATGAACAGTAAGATCCATATTTCTCCCACATCTATAGGGAAATGTTTTAATACATATTATAGCGGCTTCTATTCCCTCGTAACAAAATAAAAAGATATAGATAAATATCTAGAGGCTATTGACCTTCCAATAATATCGGACTCTCAAAAAACACTTCTTAATTCTCAGATAACGATCCTAGAGGTGGAGGAAGCTATTAAAAAATTTAAAAATAATAAAACCCCAGGTCCTGATGGGTTTTCAAAGATATTTTATAAAGCTTTTGGCGATCTCCTCAAAAAACAACTAGCAGATTTATTTAACAGTATAGTAGAAATAGGTCAATTCCCCAAAGAAATGTTAAGAGCAAATATAACACCAATACTGAAGCAGAATAAAGATCCAACTCAGATGGAAAGTTATAGACCTATTTCTCTTATAAATACTGATGTCCAGATTTTTGCTGCTATAATAGCAAATAGGATGAAAACCATACTACCTGATATAATAGACCCTGATCAAATAGGTTTTGTACCAGGTAGAATCTCCTCTGATAACACCAGATGTATCATTGACATTATAGACATGGCTAATAGAACAAAAAAAAAACCTTTCTATAGTAACGGTGGACGCTGAGAAAGCGTTTGATAGAGTGGATTGGGTTTTTATGAGCAAAACCCTGAAAAAATTTGGATTTCATGGTTGGATCCATCGGGCAATAATGTCTCTATATACCGGTCCTTCAGCAAGGACAGTGGGCTCTAACATCTGCGCTGACTGGTTTAATTTGTATAATGGAACAAGACATATAATGTCCCCTATTCTCTACATAATTACTATGGAAATCTTGGCTAATAAAATAAGATCTAACCAACAAATAAGAGGGATTACTATCAAACATAGAGAGTTGAAATTGAAACTGTACGCTGATGATCTAATTTTGACCCTTACCGATCCTATTAAATCTATCAAGGCTTTTATGGAGGTAGCAAAGGAATATAGCGAAATTTCAAACTATAAATTAAACGAAGATAAAACAACCATATTAGATATTAACTTAAATACAGCTACTAGGACCCACCTACAAGATTTCTATAACTTTAAATGGGCCAAAAATAGTATCCCATATCTCGGGATATTTTTGACAAGTAATCCCTCAGAATTAATGCAGACTAATTTTCTGAGCAACTTTAGGGACATGTCTAAAGCTTTGAACAGATGGAAAAAAAATAGAAATTTCTTGGTGGGGTAGAATGAATTTAATAAAGGCATATCTCTTCCCCAAGTGGGTATATATGTTCCGAATGCTTCCTATAAGAATACCTAGACCATGGCTTGACATGATTCAAAACTCGGTCACTAATTTCATTTGGAAAAACAAGAGACCTAGAATAAATAAAATACTCCTGGCACAGAAAATTAAAGAAGGAGGCTTGGGTTTTCCGACCATTAACGATATATATCTGGCAAATGAGTTCTTCCATATTTATCGAACTCAGTTGGAAAGTGTTAAGAATGAGGGGTGGTATATCCTAGAAAGGGAGATATGCCAAGTCCAAGACCTAAGTTCCTTACTCCAGTATAGTTCTGCTGACCCTAAAGTTTGACTTATAAGAAAATCTAATATATGTATAGATTCAATACTAGAAATTTGGCAGATTATAAAAAGGAAGTGCAATATAGAAACCAAAATCCCTTTAACTCTTAAAATTAAATTAATACCATATTACGTAACAGACTTGAACTTAAAGAGTTGGATTTCTAGTGGTATCGTCCAGACTGACCAGTTGTTTGTAAATGATAAAATTAAACAATTCCCACAACTGAAGCAAGAATTCCGGTTACCTAATAAGGAATTATTTACTTATTTGAGATTAAAAAACTTCTTAAACCAAAAGATTGAACATAATTTACAAGTCGGGGCTAAGCTGATATGTTTAATATTAAATAACAAGACAGTAAACAGAGTATCTGCTTCAGCAATGAATGCTATTCTAAAAATGGATGCACCTCCTGTCATTACTTCTTTGCAAAAATGGGAGAAAGAATTAAAAATAAAAATTAATAAGGAAAATTGGTGTGCAGTATCCAGAACAGCTAAAAATATCCATTGTTTGAATTTACTGGAAACATTATATAAAGTAATAAATAGATGGTATCTTGTCCCTACCAGACTAGCCAATATGTATAGCTCGACTTCACCACTATGTTGGAGATGTAAACAACAGCTGGGCTCTTTTATACACATTTGGTGGGAATGTGAGATAGTCAGAAACTTTTGGCAAGAAAGTTTTGTTACTCTTGAAAAATTGATTTATACGCCTATTCCTAAATTTCCAGAAAATGCTATTTTACATCTAAATATTGATTCCTTATCGCAGAAGGATTTGATTATCTATATTCACTTTATGATAGCAGTAAAGATAATAATAGCTAGGAATTGGAAAAATTCACTACCCTTTTCTTTAGATAAACTCCTATTTCAGGTTAAGTTCCAATTAGGAATGGAATCCCAACTAGACAAGCTATATGGTAAAGATCTGAAAACTAAAGACTATAGCACCTTTTGGCTAGAAAACTTATAAAGTGAATATGGTGATTATGGTTTTCC